AAAATTGTTTCGATAATCAGATTAATCGACTGTCGATAGCGATTTGACTGCCGAGTTTGGGGCTCTCACTTTGGAAGTATGGAGCCTTTTATGAGAAGGGGAATGTTAGGAAATCACACGAGAAGCAGATGATCGTCTGCTCGATGTATGGAATGAAGATACTCGGTTGGTGTCACTATTTACTGTCAAGAAATGGGGAAATTCGAGCTCTTAGTAAGTGTGCAATTATATTTTGTAACTGATTATTTTGATACTATTGGTAATCTGTAACCTGAGAACTCTGGCTTCTGAAGGACTGTGATACTAGAAATGTGTGATTATTCTTGTGGTAGGATTTTTTGGACCATGTAATTTTTGTGTTGGTTATGCTTACGCAATTTATTTTTCATTGTGGAATCCAGTAATATGAGGGTGCAAATGCATATTTCGCGGGTCACAAATTCTTGTATGAGAGGATATTCTCCAATTATTTTTGTCATACAATTTTAATAAAAATACACTCTCTTGAAATGTCATATATTTGTTTGAGAAAATTACATGCACCCTTGCTAAGCTTCTTATGTTTCGAGTTACTCTTTAATATTTTTAATGTCAATTATAATGTTCCTGGTTACTCTTTGATTCTTTTAGTGTAAATTATATCACATAGTAGTATATAATAATCATCAAGAAGAAAATAAGTAAGAAAATAAGCTAATCTTATTTTGGCAATAATTAGTCAAATAAAATACATTTGTTTGTGGAAATTTTTGGTTTTGTTTGGATTTTTTGGTGTGGTTTGGTTAATTTTGAAAAAAAAAATGGTATAGTTAGTTGTTAGTGAGTATATTAAAATAATATTTAAAATAAAATAATTAAAATTGATTTGATGTAAAAGTAGGAGAGAGATGATTGAAGTGATAGTTAGTTAAAATAATGTGAATGGATGAATAGTGAATTAAGGTTGATGTGTTGTGTATGAATGATTGATTGATATTATTTAATTATATTAATAATATTGATGATAGTGAGGTTGAGTTAAAGTTGAGTTAAAAAAAGTGGTTGAGTTAAAATGTTGAACTTGTTTGAAAAATTTCTATAAACAAACATGCTAGCCTTTCAATTCCTTTCACTTTCGTTGGGGTCCTGACGCATGCATATGTAGTGCTCGATTCTTGGGACATTTGTGTGCTTTTTTGCCATGTTTTAAATATCATACCGTACCTGCCGATAATACCGGATACCGGCCATTGGTACGGTACAGTTACACTCAAAATACCGGATTTACGGTTATACCGGTTTGTATCGGGATCATATTGCAAAAACCGCAAAATACCGGTCCAAAATACCGGCCAATTAAAAAAAAAAATTTAAAAAAATAAAATTTAAATTGGTAGTTAAAAGGTTTAATTTTTATCTCATTGAGAAGTTGTAATTAATAATTATGGTCATTTATTTTTTACTTTTTTGCATTTGATATTATATAATTATTTTTATGTATATTTATATATATCATTATATTTGCTAATTCGGTAATACCACCGATATTACCGGTTCTACCAATAATACCACGTACTGGTGACTTGACCGATATGACCACCGGTACGGTATTTAAAACACTGTTTTTTTGTCATCCTTTCGAAATACATGACACCTCACCCACCAGAGCACAAGATGAGTAATAAAATACTAATAGAATTTATATAATAATAAAATTGGAGCCCAACCATTAGGAGCCCAACCTAGTCTAACCCTGATTAAGCCGCTTTACCCTCCTTTCACTCACAGAGCCTCCTTGCACGGACGAGCAGAGCCGTCGGGAGGGCGAGGAAGAGGAGGGGTGAAAGTCAACTTTCTTGATTAATAAAAAATAAATAACATTTATTAAATAAAATTTAAATAAAAATTTTTATTAACACAATTTCTTACAACTGCATAATTAATTACTGTCGCCGATATTTCTATAATTGTAGTAATTATTTACAAATTGAATAAATCAGTCGTATTTACACAATTTGCATAATTAAGGTATATTAAAAATACATTTTACAAAAAAATTACACGAAAAATATAAATTACTTATCAAATTATAAATTATATAATTTAGTTGGAAATTTTTTTAAAGTAACTTAAGCTACAAAAAAAATTATCTTTCATTACAAATTGTTCACCTTTTTTAAATTTTGGGCCCGTTACTAAGCTTAATATATACTACTACATATCATACTTCTGAAAGCTGTACTCATATCACCTATACGTTAGTAATTCTAAAACTAATCAATAAAAGTATTATTCTATAGAAAAAACAAGTTCGAAGATTCACAAAATAAAATTTTTTGTAAACTATATGGAGTACTATATATATATAGATTACTACATTTAAACTTTATTTAATTTAGTATAATTAAATTTATCTCACTCCACATGTGTACGGTGACGCAGTACTAACTTAAGTCACAAAACAAAATTGAAAACGTTGGTCAAAATTTTTCATGAAACGAAAAAGGGGGAGAGAAAGTGGAAAAAATGCAAGATAAAAGAAAACTGGATCGCAATACCGACGAGCCGAGCTCCCACTACACTACTCACTACACAACAACAGTAGTAAGTAAATTTAGCACAAAACTAAAGAATCACGCATCGGCCAGGACGCCCTTGAGCAAGTCAAGCCCCTCGGCCGATATACTCCGTCGCTTGTGCGACCTGGTGGGCACCTCTATCCTCGGCGGCGGGTCCCTCGAGAAGCACACTACCACCACCGTGAGGTTATCACACGTGTTGCGCCGTAAGGCTTCCCGCACTAGCGAGCGTGAGCACGCGGCCGGGTCGTTGTGCGCCATGAGCTCCCGTCTCACCACGGTGACCGCATACTGGCTGCTCATCACGTCCCACACACCGTCGCACCCTATTATGAGGAACTCGTCGTCCTCCCCGAGCACCACCTCGGCCACTTCTGGCTCGGAGCTCAACGGGCAGCTCGACCCCTTGGCACCCTTCATGTGCCAGTCCCCGATGGCACGCGCCACCGACAGCTGCCCGTTGAGGTACCCGTCGTAGATCACCCCGCCGAGCTTCTCGATCCGGGCACGCTCGGACGTGCACTCGGGCTTGTGGTCCTTGGATAGCTCCACCGCCCGGCCTCGTTTACCGAGCACCGCCCTCGAGTCCCCCGCGTTCGCGATTATCATTTTTCTGCAATACAGTAGGTCTTGTGTTAGGTCGACATATCTGCCTAACGGCGGTTAGGCAGTCTCACCCAAGATTTTGTGTATTCATTGGAAACTCATACAATTTTGCCAAAATCGACTTTTGTATTATTCTTTATATCAAATTTGGGGTGTGTTTGGTAGTTCAATTAATGATAAGAGATTCTGATTTGATGGGTTTATTTGAGTACTAACAACCTGGTGCCACACACATTTAAGAATACTGAAACATAAGTTAACTGATAGCTGATAAATTATCCAATTGGATGCTTTATTACAAGCGTACGTGTGGTTCAGTTTCATGTGTACGTACCTTCCAAGCATGAGGGCAGTGAGAGCAGTGGTCCCAGACGATCGATCGAGATTCTTGGCGTCTGCGAGCGCATGATCGGCTTTCACAAAAGCGTTCTTTAGGGATCTTTTCATCCCATGTGGAAAGTCAAAATCCTCAACGATAAAATTCAAGATGTTCTTCTTGGTGAAAGAAGCGGCATCTGTGCCTCCATGACCGTCGAACACCTAACGATTAATTAGGTTATATGTTCACGCGGATTGATACGAGTCGTTTGAAATCATCTAAAAAAGGAGAGTAGAAAATCGATCGATATGATATTTTTGCGTACCCCATAAAATGCACCGGGAGAAGGGAAACCATTGGCGGATGAGCCAAGATGTTCGGAGAGGTTATCAACGCATATGAACTCATCCTCCATGTATGGCTTTGGACCCATCTCGGAACAACTTCCTGAACGAAATATTGGTGAATATTCGGAATCCTTGCCCGGTGAAGACTTCACACCATTATTTTCTATAGGACATCCCTACAAAAACGAGTAATAATGCTAGAAGCTCAATCTTATGCCTTACACTTTCTAAAGACATCAAATAAATAAAATGAAAAAATACCGCTAGATACGAATTGGCTAACGATGCTTGGCTGATGCAATGGCGCATCAGAGGAGGCCGTGACAGTGTCGGCTGGATAGTGTCCGCACGTTCCTCCTCGATTATTTTCTCATAATTCGACAGTTTCTCGTTTTCTTTATGGAAACCGTTCGATTTACCTTGACATGCTGTAGTGTTAGCGCCAGGACCCATTTATTATCCCACTTATCGTTCTTTTCTTTTCTTTTTTAATTATCTAAATTTGCCAAACGATCTGCAACAAATATTCTCCTAACCGCAGTGTTTGATGTTCGTGATATAAGCCGGTCAAGAACACATTTTCCTTTTTCTCGCCATTCATGAGGAATTAATCAAAAGCTCATCAAAACCA